GGAAGTTGTTTTATTCCATTGCAGTTCCAACTTACATTCATATGTGAGTAGAATGAGCCCTTAAAAACACATGTGTTTTATTATTAAGCTACTCTTATTATAGAAAAGGCTCACATTAATTTTAATAACAGTTGACCATATAAGAACATCAACATGTGGCTTGTAAAAGGATTTTTCCTCTCTGAATTTATCTTACGGAAATCAAGTTTCATTACCCATCAAAGTTTTAAGCTCATTTGCTTCTAAACTTTGTGCTGTGTAAGGATTTAAAAAAAAATGACCTTTCTTACAATTCTAGAGAATATTAAAAAATCTGCTTTTGTACCTTTTAGGAGGAATTCATTTTCTTTGTTGTCACTGGCAGTCATAACTCATGATACTAGTGGAGATTTCACCTGGTGAATGTGATTCATCACGTTCATCAGATTCACTGGTGAATGTGATCCCCAAAGATATTATCTGATACTTGTTCAATTCTTGTCGAATTAAAAGGCACAGAATGCATAAATGGCTTAGAAGTTTTTATCTCATAGCTATCAAGAGTGCTTATTTTAAGATACCAGTGTGTTTTAAACTGAACATAATATACCAGTCACAGATTTTTTTCTTCCTTTCTTGAAAGTGGGTGGAAAGCAGATATTATGTATTACAAAATGAAAAGAGGAATGGACATGGATCCTAAGCAAAGATTCACAAGGGATGATAATAATTGAGGATTTTATAACATAAGGATATTCATATCAAAGCTTCCTGAGTACAGGTGCTGAGCACTAAAATTTTACCAAAGACAGACTATCTGAAGAATGATGTTTTTGCCATGTATAGAAGGAATCAAGATAAGACTGTTTAAATAATCTTTATCTCTCTTCCATTGGTTATTCATAAGGGTATTGTAATAGAAGTAACAGAGACACTTCTAACACTGCAGCTGAACAAAATTAGCTGAGGAATATGAGAGAACATATCATATACATATCATATATGCATATATATGTTTCCATAGAAATATGGCTTATTGGTTTTTAAAATAAAACTGTAACATAATAAAATATATTTGACCCTGCAACTATGCTAAATCTAAAAGCAATAATTCAAGTGCATTTTAGGATTTAATACTGCCTTAGAGTCTTTCTTATCAAGGTTAATTTGAATTTACAAAATCCAGAGTCAGTTGATCATATTTGAAATTTTGTTGATTCTCTTCTGACCAGAATACATGTACTGCACTTAGTTATGGACTGGTGAGTCCTTTCCATGTTGGGGATGTAGAGTCCTCCTGAGGACTTTCTTAACCTCTCCAGGTCTCAGTCTACTGTCTCTGTGATGAAGAAGTTTGGATCTCAATGCTTTGCTCTACAATGTGATCTAGTCATGATGAATTTATATTTCTGAATTAAAGTGGTCCATTGATTATAGCACAGTGCAATGTTGAATATATGCTTCACTGTATCAGAGGTTACATCTATAGACTTTTTAGAGGTCATATTTTTTAATAGTTGCCAGAGGCAGACATTGGTTCCACCTGTTGCAGTATTTACCAAACTCACACCTATTTTAGTGAGAACTCCAGAAGAAAAAACTTTTTAAGAGTGTGTGTATATGTGTGTATTTTATATATACATAGATAGATATGTATATACATGTATATATATTTTTCATTTATTCTTTTGTCTCTTTTCTTTTCTTCTTCTTTTTTTTTTTTTTGAGACAGAGTTTTACTATGTCATCCTCGGTAGAGTGCTGTGGCATCACAATTCACAGCAACCTGAAACTCTTGTGCTTAAGTGATTTTCTTGCCTCAGCCTCCCGAATAGCTGGGACTACAGGTGCCTGCCACAATGCCCGGCTATTTATTTTGTTGCAGTTGTCATTGTTGTTTAGCAGGCCCAGGCTGGATTTGAACCGGCCAACTTGGGTGTATGTGGCCGGCGCCCTACCCACTGAGCTATGGGTGGAGCCCTCTTTTGCCCCTTTTCATGCAACTGAGATGTGCACATTTTAATTCACAGCGTGAAGGAACATCCTGACGGTCATCCACGGTTCCTTCAATGAACATCAGTATATTTTTCACACAAGGAACCAAAATAAAAGCAGGTTGGATCATTTAGAAGGTTCTCACCATGTGGGATGAAAAGTCTGATTACAAGCTGATCTTCAGCTTTTGGAAATACTTCCTTAAATCATTCCTTGTTTGTGATCAACTTCCCCATTTTGACTGATGGGATCTGGTGTCTGTGTGGGTGGAGGAAAGGACAAAGCCGGTCGGCAGCCTGAGGCCGGAGCCGCCTGCCGCCCTCATCTCTTGGTTCACACAATGAACATGCTAAGATTACGTTTTCAATCATTAATTTAATTCAGGGCTAACCTTTTCTATTGGCCCACTTTATGCCCACATACTTCATTCACTCAAGCTGTCTTCTACCTGGGTAAGTATCAATATTCTAGTAACAACAAACAAGATTCTGTCATCAAAGGGGTTCATAATTATGAGTATTATAAATTATTTTATTTAAAATAATTTGGCCTATAAAAATAAAAAAAAAACTCTGCCTGTAATTTAACCAGAGATTTTTTTGGAATATAATGTCCATACCTTCTATCGAGTATTACCTTGACGATAACTCTAAATTCTAGATAGAAAGAAACAAAGACGTTCTCTAAATCACAGCCAGTCTGGTGCAGGCAGTCTTGTAAAAGAACCCTCGGTGGCAGGAGATAATGAAATGACATGTTACCTATGACTGAACAAAAACGGTGCTGTGACCTGGCAATTTCTTTTCACTGCTGACATGTCCCTGCACCGCACGGCACATCAGCACTGCCTTCATGTAAATTTAATGGTATTTCCCTGACAGTGACATAAGCCAACACACTGTGAGAAGCAGCAGAGACTTAGGGATGGCTCAGAAACGTAATTGGTTTTCCATTTATTTTTAAAATGCAAATTACACTAGTAAGTCAAAAAAATCACTCTGTTAAAAATACATTCAGAATTAACAAATGCAAAAAAAAAAAAAAAAGAAAGACACATCAGGATTGTAACTCTTGCCTTCTGAATATTAGGTTTATAACAAAAGCTCAGCCTAGAAAAATAGCATTCTTCACCGGATTTTGAGGAGGATACAGCTGTACAACTTAGATGTTTTCCCAGATGTAATCACACCACTGTGCTTACTGCTCCCAAAAAAGATCCGTCAACTGTTATTTTTTAGTAGTCAACAACTGTTTTTGAAAATTTGGGTGGTGATAATTGTGATTTGGTGGTAAGTTGGCTGTAACTTAAAGCAGGAAGATGAGGGCTTATTTTCTGTATCCAGATACATGTACATGCTGAAATCTCATCGCAGCATGAACGTACAGTGAAACCTCATTTTCATAGTCACATTAAAAGTCACGTTAGAGTAGTTTCTGGCATGTATAGCATTTATATTTTAGGAATTAAAGGACAATACATTGGTAAATATTTTTCGCCTACATTAAACATGCATGTCACCATAAAAACATCGTATGAGGTTTCACTGCCATGTTTGCAATTGTGTACTTTATACATGTATGTATGGACAAACATATACAAGCCATTGCGAAAATTCAAGCATGAGTGCCGGAATCTTCTTTTTAGTCTCTGTTCCAATGATAATTCTTTGTTTCTTTATTATTTTCAAATGTATATATGTGTGTATAATTACAGACAGTCATGCAAACACAGTAATGGGACTGGTTTATGTAGATCTGGTTGGGCTAAGGTCCAATACTGGTTAACCCAATAACTGAAACTTCATAGAAACCAAAAACCATAATAAAACAAAACAAACCCCCCCCAAAAACAAACTTACTCCATGCCAATGTATAACTTCTGAATTTCACTGGACTGAAGGATGGCGTGTCAGTGAAAAGAAAAATTGATTTTGGTGTCTCAGGTGGAACCAAGAAAAAAATGTGACTCATCTGAGTTCCTGATGAGCCTGAGCTAAGTATGGTTTGCACTAATGAAAACCAAATAATGCTTGAAAGTAGAGAACAAAATTTCCTAGGAGTTCAGAATATTCCATAAACACATTGACCTACTATTAAGTTTCCAAAGGCATCTTGTTGCCAACTACGTGAACAGCACAGTTTTTCTGCCACAAGAATACAGGAGGATTGAAATACACTCTAACACACAACAGATCCCCCAAATACCACAAAGAGATCTCAAATATTTCACCAAGGTAACTATCGCTCCCCCCACCCACCCAAAAAATAATCTCGTACGCTAGTTAGAAAAAAAAGTTCACCTACATAGGGTCTTCGATTTGAATTAGATATAAAAGAGTAAACATAGCTAGTACATATTCAGTTGGCCTCTTGATAGAAATCCACAGCCGTTTCTGGGTTAGTAAAAGACATTTGTAGATACTTATAAAAGCACCTAGAGTGCAATAAATAAAATCAGTGAGTTAAACCATTTCTGCTTTCTGCTTCCAGTAGATGAATGGGTTTAGTGGATTAGTAAGTTTTACTTTGTCCCACCCCAACCCCATCAGAAGACCATATTTCACAATTATAAAGGTGTCGATTATTACTGTGGTTATCGTTAACTCGTCTCTTTTCGGCCACCGTGGAGGCTCTAGTGTAAAGCACTTCGCTGGCAGCGGGCGCTTTTCTTTTACAGACACACCACACTGGCGCTGCCGCGCTTTTCAGTGCTGTTCCTGGCCCTAAACACACGGACCGGAACTCATTCGGAATTAATAGCAGTGTGTTAGCCTAAAGGAAGTGCCTTGGGGACTTCTGCACTGAGATTCTCGGGCACGCAACGTAGGTGGGTTAAGGCAAGTCTGTACGGTACAGCCTTTTGGGGCAAACAATCTACCATTTCGGACTTCGGTTACAAGGTCATGATGGCATGTTTTGTTTGTTAGTTTTTGCAATTACATTGCCTAAGTAGCCGTGATGCTATCAAGATGTGCGGAGTGCAGAAGACCCAGCTCGCAAACTAACGTGCCCAGGATGACTTCGCGGCTCGCAGAGGCCGGCGGGCTGGGCTGCGGAGGAGTTAGGAGTGGCCAGCAGAGGGCACCATCGCACCTCCTTTTCCAAAGGCCTGGGAGAAAGGAGCCTGCTTTCAGGAAATCCAAGATGGGCGTGTCCTGCATATTTGTCTATTTCAGTTAGAGAGAGGAGGTCAAGTGGAATTGGTGTGTGCGTGTGTGTGCGTGTGTGTCCCCGCGTTCGCGTCTCAGTATAGTAGAGGCTTTGTGTTTGTTGTGTTAATATGTATATATGTTAAGATTCGGTTGCTTCTTGCTCTTCATAAAATGCAGGAGGCCACTGGGAAACAAGTTCTTTGAAAAGTCCATGAGCTGATATACTGAAGTCATCGGTATTATTTTGACCTAAGGTAGAGAAAAGAGGTTTTTAATCAGAGGGGGAGCTATGGGTGCCTGTTGCTCACCACCTTTTCTCACCTCTCCAAGCACAAGAGGGGACAAAAAGAATTCCCAAACTACCACGCCCCAAACAACTCCTCATTCCCCTCCCCTAAAAGAAGCACCACATTTGGGTTTTAAATAGACCGTTTTCCTCTCCTTTTCTTTTTCCTCAGTGCAACCCTCTGGGTGGAGAGGCCACTTACGGTGACTTAAAATCTATTTCTGGGGACAAATGAAATGAATATGTATTCCTGTATAATTAGGCTGCCAAAAAGAATGCAGTGTTTTCGGATGTTGTCTAATATACCTCAGGATGTTCTCATACTGCTGGGAGTCCAATCACATCTCTACTCAGTAGGGCATATATAGGGCAGTGGTAGTCAAAGCAGCTCCTTTGTTAGAAAATTAATATGAGGACAGGAGAATTTTTTTTTTTTTTTTTTTTTTTTTTGTGGAGCAACTTCATAGCTATTGATTTATTTCAAAGAGTTCTACCAGAATATAAAAACCAACAAGAACTGAAAATCTTTCCTTTGTTAGATGGGTTAGAGATAATCTGAAGAATTGGAAACCAATAATGTTCCCCCAACTTAAAAAAAATACAGAGGACTGTCTTGTTCATTACTACAGGGACTGAAACATGGCTGTGGCTGTAGGTCACAGGTGGCAGTGTTTTCAAAGCTTTGTCCAGGATCTTGGCCACAGACGATTTGCTGGTACAGTGGGAGCCCCACAGCTGAAACAGCATGTTGCTTTCTAAAGTCTGCTTTCCTTTTATTTATAAATAAAAGGAAGAGCTTTTATTTCCCATTTCTATATAATGTTGTTAGGGTGCTTGAACTGGCCCGTGATGTTAAATTACACTTACTTTACGAGACATATTTATGGCAGGTTGACAGGAGAAGGTACACTCCAAATGACAAAGACATAGGGGATGCTCAGGTCTCTGCCTCTCAGCAGGGGGATGAGGTTTGTAGGTGAATCGGTTTGGTTTTTTACCCAGTTTGAATAGACTGTGGCTCAGATGAGTTACAAAGTGGGAAAGGCCCTCATTCAATAGTGTATGATGTAAAATGAACGGGGAGTAAAGGAGATGCAGAGAAAGGAAGGGGCACAGTGACGTACGGGTATATGATAGTTGAGTTCGTATAAAGAGTAAAAATAAGTGAAGTAAAAGCCAGGGAATATGATATCAGGCCAAACTTACAATACATCTAAGAATTTAGAAAGAACAGGGAACTAAGGGGTCAGGAAAACTGCTTGATAACCTTGGCTGTGCCCTTAACAAGCTGTGTGACTTCTGTCTCTTTTTTTCTTGGCTTAGTACCCTCACCTGTAAAATAAAATCTTAGTGTACTAGGATGGGGCTACTATGGGATGTTGGGATGGTAGTAGTATTTCAACGAGTAATTTTTTTATGTGTTGTATTTCTAACTTTCTACATTTGAATTGTATTTGGCATTTCACTTAAGAGCAGTTAAGATTTGAAAGCTCTGATATAATTTTACTATTATCAGCCAGTAAAGAGGAAAACATATTTTTATCACTTTTAGTTGATACGTTAAGTATTCGATTTAACAAAATATTTCAAGTGTTCTATTTCACAGGAAGTCTTGTCCTCAAGGAATTTAATTCTAGATGGAGATACTTATCCTTGTGGAGTTCCTAAGGCAACATTAGAATTATAAATGCTTAATTTGAAAGAAAGCACTTGAGTATATGTATAATTAGCATTCTCATGTTATTTTATTATCACGGGTGATCTTTACATGAGGAGTTGCATATCATTTATTATACATAATCACATTTCATAATCATTCATATTGATCAAAACAGTGAAATGTTACGTGATATTGCCAGAAGAAAGCAATCACTAGCCTTACAGATGTTTTACTCTATTCCTGAGCACATATTGTTCAGGTTACTTGGGCTGATGCTATATATGTGATATACTGTTTACAGAGGAGATTCTTTGAAACTTATATACAGTGTATATGATATCTGACTTGACAGTCTTTTCATGAGTGATGGTTAATATGAACATTATTTATTCTGCTAATATATTTATTCAGCACCTACTATGTGATATGTTGTATATTTCATGTACTTTACATATATTTTTGGTATACTTTCCAGACCAATTGTAGGAAGTCTGTATGTTATTTTCTCTATTATACAGGTGAGGAAACTTAGGCCTGGTGAGATTAAATACAGTTATTCAAATACAGTTACATGCCCAAGGTTATAGAGAATTTAATCTCAGACAACAGTCTGCTTTGAAAAAGTCATGTTAACCAACTTGCCTGACTGCTTTGCTCTTTAATAATAGAAAACTTTTTAAAAAGGTTACAACAAAATATTGAGAAGAATGATAAAGTATTTAAAGGATTTCTCATCTGCTGGGTTTTTGGTAGCTACCAAGTCTTTCAGACTACTAAGCAACTGTAGTTCATGGCAAAAGAAATAAGACAGAAGTCTTAAAGGAAATAGATTAAGAAATATTTCCTAGTGGGAGCACATTTTGAGATAAAATTCAAAGGATGATGGTATTTCAAAGGGTGGAATTTGGAAAAATGATTGTTTTGTGTCAGGAAAATAATATGGAACAGTGGAAAAACACATGTCATATTTAAAGAAGCCAAACCCCCCCGCTCAGAGGTGTTATTAGGCTATTTATGCATCTTCAGGAGGACAGGGCCAGTTCTTACTCTTAGTACATTTTCCTAGCGTTGCTTAACTTGCTTAGCATCACCTGCATATGGTTGAGACTCAAAAGACATTAAGGTTCGCAGAGAAGAGACAGTATCTCAATAGGACGTGAAGGCCAGATCAAAGTGTACTGGCAAAGGACAGTAAGGAGTTTGAGCTTTGTTCAGTAGGTACTAGGAAGTCAGCAATACAGCTTTGGGGCAGGGAAGTGAAATTATCAGAATGGTATTTTAGGCAGATTGATTTGACAGCCATGTGGATAACAGGTAAAGATTCTGAAATCAGAAAGTAACTGAAAACTTAAGTTAACAGGAATGCATGCGTGAATTAGGACAGTGGTGAGAATGTCAGTAAAAGAATGTGTGATAGACTGTCTATAGAAGTCACGCTTTGAATGAAGCCAAAGGCTGGTTGATTTCTGAACTGGTGTATCCGTTGAATTCTGGACTAATAAAGTCTTTTTAATGAGTGGTATTAGCAAATGATTTCAGAGAACTACAGGGGACACAAAGAAGACAGGCATAGTTTTTCTCTTTTTAAAGAGAAGCTTATAAAGGGGGTGCCTGAAGATTACTCTTTTTGGAGGAGAAACTATGAAACTCCATTTATTATCCTACACACTAAATATATTAAAGGGTAAAATGACTTAATGGTGGAGGACAACGACAACAAACACATATCTTCAAAGAGAAGTTCACATTTCAGAAAATGGAATCTTACTTTCTATTTTGATCTTCGCTTGCAATTCAGCATATCACTTGATGCTGATATATAGAATTTGTTATCAGTTGTTATCCAAGGGAATTTGCCTAAACACAGATATAAAAATCAGGCTCTGATTGTATGTCTGCTCTCTTGAGTGCTAGAGTTAAGGGTTGATAAATTTCTGTGTTAATGTTCTAGTTCATTTTCACTTTCACACCAGAAAAATAGAGAAAGAGAATCGCTAGGTTTGTTTCTTTAAAATTTTTTTGAACACTATATATCCGTAGGGTGAACCTGCCATTGATCACGTAAATGAGTACACTTTTAAGAGTAACATGGAGGGCTGGCAAAAATTATGCTGAGACCACCAGTGTAAACTTGGGCTATTCTAGAAAGACCAGAACATAGAGTTTATCTATAGTTACATATAACTGCCTATGATGTTATATCATTTTCAAAGTATACAACTTTTGGATAATTCAAATAAGTGGTACATAATATAGGCTTTTGAGCCATGTAGGTAATGCTTATGTAAGATAAAGGTAACTTTAAAAATGACATTTCTGATAAATCAAATTAAAAAAATTACGAACAAAATGTTGTTAGAATTATCCCAGTCAAGAAGATATTACTAGGAGAGAAAATACTGGAAATATATAACTGAAGGAAAGCTGCATGCCATCTATTTTGTGCCTGGATACTTTGGATTGATCATCTTTTAGGATTCCAGAATACCTTCAATGCAAAGTACTTACATGTACATAGGCTGTAGCTGTAAATGAGATGTCTTCTGTGGACCTTGATAGCCATAAGAGTCAAAGCCACCTATGAAATCAACTGAGAAGGGATAATTGCCTTTGTTAGTTAACTTGTAGAAGAGATAAACATTAATGATCAAGGTCCCTCACAGATTATTAACATAAATATTTTAATAATCTACTAAATTACTGAAAGTAACAAGTTGTAAAGAAAAAGAAACTATACTTCTGAGCTAGTTCCTTCCAGGTAGTCCCCCCCCGCCAAACTATGATATATTCAATTATTACTTTACAAGAATCTATTCACTTGGGACAATAACTTATGTACTCCCTTAAGCAGCCAAGACCAAATTTGAGCAATAAAATTCAGTTGTGCATTAAAGATGCCATATGCCCTTTTTTGCTAGCCTCAAGATTTTCTGTAATATGTTGGGAATGTTTTAGTAGAAAAACAATGTTCTTCTTAGCAAAGTATCACAGGAATGGAAGAAAAAGTATCCAATGTACACAGCTCTTTTATGAAACTAATTTATAGCTCTCAAATGAAAGATACAACTTAATTCTAGCCCAAGAATATGGGGAGGGGGTGAAGAAGGGGAGGGGGAGAAGGGCAGCTGGGTGGTGGGAGGGTGACCAGAAAGATTACCTATATATCTGTCTAACAAGGGTACAAGTGAACTTTTCTAGAACTAGAATATAAATGTTTTGATACAATGACTATGTAAATGACATGAAATTTATGTGAACCAGCTTGATGAAAGTATTTCAAAATGTATATGAAAACACTACACTGTACCCCATGTTTGCATTAATGTATACAGCTATCATTTAATTTAAAAAAAATAAAAAAAAAAGAAAAACAATGATCTCTCACGTGAATGTACACCTATCTATCAGCCACTGCAGCACTAGTATATGTGCTATGATTAGCAAGTGTAAGGTGCTGTGATGGAGCCCTTGTGAATTAACTCAACGTGGCTGTCCCTGCCCTTATCTGATTTGCAATCTGAAACAAACTAAATATCCAAATAGTATATATTATCGATATTTAAAAAACAGTAAGCTATAACAAGAATTACTATGGTAGGCTGTATTTTCCAACATGGCTGCAGCAACATTTCCTATTCCGTGTGTTTTTACGGTATGACCTGGGCATTCTTCTCATCCGGTGGTTTGGGCGGATGCCTCTTCCTCTTAAACATGGGTAGAACTTTGTGGCAGCTTTGATTATGGTAGAAATGACACAATGTGACTTTTAAGGCTAGATCATAAAACCATCATGCACATCTCCCTTACTCATTTGGCATGTTCTTTCCTGGAACACAGCCACCATGCCATGAGGAAGCCCAAACTAGCCCGCATGGAGAGATCAATGGAAGATTACAGATAGGTGTTTCAGCCAATGGGCTAACCGAGGCTTCAGCTGATAGCTGTCATCCACATTCAGTTATGTAGAAAAAAATGATTCCAGAGCCCAGCTGTTGAGTCAACCCAGTCTTAGAATCTTCCCACTGTCTGGAACATTCTCAAGTCCTTGATATCAGAGAATAGACACAAGACCTCCCCATGATGCCTGTCTATTAAGTTACAGAATTTATGAGCATAATAAATGATTGCTTTTTACCACCAAGTTGTGGAGCATTATTATGTAGAGTGATAAATTCTAAGGTATACTGTGAAGAAGTTTTGCTTTTGTTTTTTATTTTTCATTTTTGAATATAGATGTTGTGTGGTGGGATAAAAGAGGCAAAACAACAAAGGCTGACAAAATAGATGACAGGAAGGAGGAATGGGAAATGGAGATAATTAAGATGCCCTGGGATACTCTTACTTTCTCTAGTATCTTATTCCATTGGCTTCCTTTGTCTAATTCTTGTTCTTTTGTTAATATCCTAGGCCTAGGGTATTAGAAATTAGAGCAGGATGTAAAATAACATACAGTCCATAGTATCTGTGTAATTGGGAAATTCTCATAAAGGACTTCATTTTTTAGAGCAATTTTGGCTTCAAGGCAAAATTGAGTAAAAAATATAGAGAATTCCTTTATATTCCTGTCCCCACACAAATACACCCTTTTCCCCTGTCAGCATCTTACACCTGAATGGTAAGTTTATCAGAATAGATGCTCCTACATTGACACATCATTATCACTCAAAGTCCATTATTTACATTTGGGTTCATTATGGGATTGTACATTCCATGGGTTTTTACACATTGTATGACATGTATCTACCATGATTGTATTATAGTAATTTCAGCACCCTAAAAAAATCTGTGCTCCACCTAATCATTCCTTCTTCCCCATTAGCCCTGAGAACCACTGATATGTTAAACTCTCTGTAATACAGTCAAACCTCCATAGTCGACCACCTGTCTGCATTGACCACCTTCATAACTTGACCTAATTTTCATAGACCAGACATGCATTGCGTGTACATATTAGTACAGTAGGCCTAGTTGACCACCTCATACAGTGACCAGTTTGTTATAGTCCATCAGGTGGTCAACTTGCAGAGGTTCTACTCTATTTCCTTTTTCAGAATGTCATAGGGGTGGAATACACAGTATGTAGCCCTTTCTGATTGGCTTCCTTCACTTAGAAATATGACTTTAGAGTTTCTCTAGGTCTTTTCATGGCTTGATAGTGCAAATCAAAGGCATTATAATACTTCTCTCAACACAATACAATTGTTGTGAGGATAGCATATAAGAAATGTAGGGCCCTGGATGAGGTAGAAGTAGAGAAGAAGAAAATTAAGAGCCCCTCACAAACTCGGGCTTTCTTTATAATTCTTCCAAGTAATGCAGTGTAGCAGAAAGCAACAGAACATTTTTAATTTGAACTGTAGAACTATACCAGGTGTTTTCAGAAAATGAATGGAAAGAGAGTAAACCTCTTTTCCCAATATTTGTACCTTGGTTAATATAAACAGTATCAGAAAAGAAATATATAATATTACAAGGTAACTATATTTAAAGATTATACTTTGAAAAATTATTGCTTAAGACTAGGGATTTATTATAGACAATGCCTAAATTTCTGTTTATGTTGGTGGGTTCTTATCCACAAGAGACCACTAGTCTGCAGAAAGGTATTCATGGGGTTAGAGCTCCATTGCTTTGACATTCTCTTTTAGCAGGATGTGTGGGCTAATCATGTGGATTAGAGTAGATCAGAGTCACAACAGATAAAAGCAAGAAGGTCTCCCTTCCTGAAATTGAGTTCCAATTCAAACTCCGGTTTATTAGTGTTGTTGTTATTATTATCACTGTCATTGTTTTTGACTTTAGATATTCTGAATATAATGTGCTATGATGAAGTCCTTTTGGTAATGTATTTTCCTGGCTATCACTGGGCTTCCTATCTCTGGATATTTAATTCTCCATGCTATACTTGGGAAATTTTTATCAATTATTTCCTCAAATTGGTTTTCTAAACTTTGATCTCTCTTTCCCTTTAGGAATATAAATAATTTGCAAGTTTGATCACTTTATGAAGTTCAAGATATCTCAAAAGATCTGTTTATTGTTTTTAATGCTTTCCCCCCCTTATTTTGTTTGACTGGATTATTTCAAAATACTTGTCTTCAGGTTCTGAGATTCTTTTTTCTGTTTGGTCCAGTCCACTATTTAAACTTTCAAATGTATTTGGTATTCCCTTCAATGAATATTTCAGCTCCAGAATTTTTGTTTTTGTTTTTTTTTAAGATGTTTATTTCCTTCATAAATTTATCATTCATATTCTGAATAGATTTTCTGATTTCTTTGTATTGTTTTCTAGATTTCTCTTCCATTTCAGTGAGCGTCTTTAAAATAAGTATTTAAAAATTTTTATCTGAAATTTTTAGGATTTTTTTTTGTTTGTTTGTTTCATTAGGATCTGTTGCTGGACAATTGCTGTGGTCCTTTGGTGTTGTCATATTTCCTTACTTTTTCCTGTTTCCTGTCCCTCCCAATGCATACCTACAAATCTGGTATAGCAGTCACTTTTCCCAATTTTTGGAAATTACTTTTGTAATTTGAAGAAGTTGAGTAGGACACTTTGGCTTTGATTTTGGGTGCCTATGGTAGGGTGATATCCATATAATTTCTTTAGCAGTACACAGGGCTGGTGGTGTTTGTGATTTTCTTGGAGGCTTAGGACATGCCTATTAGCTGAGGCTGTGGTAAAGTTTTGCTGGGAACTTGGACACTAACTTAGCCTTCTGCCCTTGGTGGTGACAGGAGGGGGATGAATGTGCCTGTTTTTAGGCTCTAGAGTAACTTGTGCTGGCTTGGGTATTAGTGGGTACTGGAGTGCTGAGACTTGGGCCTTTGTATAAGAGTGGTGGGTTGGGACTGTGGGTAGGTTTCAGTGATGCCAGTAGTGGTAGAGCAACCCATCAGCACTCACATGGTCTGTGTTATTGTTGCTGGATGCTGTGATGGGTTAGATTGGAAGTCTCACAGCTTCCTGTAGCAGGATAGTGGGTATTGTCTTAGGTGTGTTTGGGAAAACTTGGTCTTCTCAGTTCTCCTTGGCTGGGTGGGGGATGCTATCACAACAGCTCAAACTCTGCCTGAAGGTGCAGCCAATGTCAATATTAAACTCTCAAAATGGTGCCTTGGGCCTGTGACTGGGTGGGAGGGGGCCATAATCCCTTCTAGGCAAGCACTATGGGCCAGAAGCAGAGGGGAGAGCAGTCTACTCATGTCTCAGTCACACAGAGGCCTATTTAAAAGTGGTGGGTATTGTCTGAGGTGTGCATAGGAGAGCTTGATTTTCCTTCCCTCTCTGGCTAGGTGGCAGCTACAGCTATGTCTAAACTCAGTCTGAGGTTGGGGTGTAGCCCACCATTAAAATTTCAAATGGTACCTTGAGGCTCTGGCCAGATAGAGTTGGGACCCTCCCAAGCAAGTAGAGTGGGTACAAAGCCATGGAGACTAACGTTCATTCGTGTCTCAATCTCATAGCAGCCCAAGCAAGGTGATAGGACCTGCTAGAGGTGCATGTGAGTGCCCCTCTTCAGCTTGGAGCAGAGCAATGGCAGTAGCAAGTTCTACAGATTCCTGGTATCTAGGCTTTCAGAATGGCACCCT